AACCGGCCATCCCTATATGGGATCCGAACCCGCGGCCTTGGTGTTATCAGCACCGCACTCTACCGAGTGAGCCACGGGCCGGCCTTCTCTCCCCTCCAACTTGGAAGGACAGGTACTGGATGGGGGCGAGGTGCTGAGGAGGAGGCAGGTGGCACAGGTGAGTGCGAAGGGAGGGGGGCGTCCGCCAGATGTTCGAGGTGCTGGCCCTGACCCCCAGGGTCCTCCACCCACTGCTCCCCCCGTAGGGTCGATATTCCAGTCCTCAGATGCCCGGGTTCTCCTGCTCGGAGGCACCACGTTGTCTCTGGCCATCTGCCGTCTCGCTGCTTTCCCATCTCTGGCACTCCTGGGCAAGCGAACTCCACGTGTGCCCGTGTCCCGGGCTCCCTACTCACGGTCCAGCCCCCGCCGTCCACCTGCATGTCACAGAGCACGGTAAGCTGCCGGCCGTCGGGGAGGTGGGTGGTGTACCAGCCAGTCAGGAAGCCGCCCCGGGCCAGCACGTCCTTGCAGCTCCGGGGTCCTGTGTGGCCGGGAAGGGGGCAGGGGTTTGCCTGTACCTGGGGGTGTGCTCCAGCGACAGGCACCCAGCCCAGGGAGGGTCCCCACACGGCTCCCGGCCCCGCCCTCCAGCGGGTGGTGTGTGGGGGGTGAGGGGTGCTGGGAGGCCACTCACCTCTCTGGCACAGTGCATCTCCCAGCTCCTTTGCCCCTGGGCAGGAGACAAAGGTGCCTTTCTCTTGGTCCGTCCCCACCCCTCCACAGATGCCCGACTCCCCAGCACCCCTGTGCCTACACCTCTGAGGCCCACCCCTCCCAGACCATCCTGGCCCCTGCCTGCTCCAGGCTCTGTTGGGGGTCCCTGGCCACCCTCTGGGCTTTGTCCCTTCTGTGACCCTTTCCAGAGTCAGGACCTGGTCAATGTGCTGGCCCGTGCAGGCTGGGCTGTTCGACCCCCAAGGGTGGGCTGTTGGGTTTGTGGCGGTGATTCCTCCTCCTGGAGTCGCCTGGGCCCTGGGTCCCTTCTACCCTCCTCCTGTTACTAGCCCACCCCCACAGGGCTCCCCGGGACCTGCCACTGCAAGGTAATGAGTATGTGAAGCTTTCCAGGAGACTCAGGTCCGGGAATGTTCTCACCCAGTGAGGCTGCAGCCCCCGGGGCGCCTTTCTCCCCTGGAGAGAGACAGGGTGTTGGCCTGGTCCCTGGAGCTGTAGCCCCCGCCCCTGCCCTCTGTCCCGCACCCCTGCACCACTGGACCTCCTCTCTGGGCTGTGAACCCCTCAGCACTGTGACATGCACAGTGAGCCCCTCACCCCCTCAAGGATTGTTCCTTCGGAAGCTCTGGGATGGTGCTGCTGAGGGTCCCTGCCACACGGACCAGATGGGGGTCCCGGACACCACCTCCCTTCTCTGTGCTCAAGGCTGCCATTGGAGCCATTGAGACCCCAGTCTAAGATCTCTCCACCTGGAGCTAATGCTCAAGGCTGGCATTGGAGCCATTGAGACCCCAGTCTAAGATCTCTCCACCTGGAGCTAACCCTCCCGGCCCCTCCCAGGGTGGCCTTGGCCACTAGGCTTACCTCTGACCCCAGGGGGGCCTCTAGCTCCTGGCTCTCCTGTGGGTAGAAGGGGCGACTCACACAGTGCTGGCCCTACTGGAAGAGGTGGGGGCCTGCTCCACGATGGGGGCGCCCAGCCTTTCCCCCCTGCAGGCTGCGTGGGTGTGTGCACATGTGGGAGTGTGGAGGCGCGGTGGGAGGGAGTTGCGTGCACCTCGCCTACTGGGAAGCCAGTGGAGGGACGGAACTAGCCAGAGCCTGGGTGAGGGAGGGTTTGGGGGGACGGGTGTGGCTGGCTCTGCTTCCCTGCATCCTGCCCTGGCCTGGGCAGACCAGCAGACAGACTGACCTGGACGCGCCTCTTACCTTTGCTCCCAGCCGGCCCCATCTTCCCCGGGCTGCCCTGAGGGCCTCGCTCCCCTGCAAACACAAAGGCCTGACTGGACCCCATTCCCTGGGTGGGGTCAGGGAGGGTTGGCCAGGGGAGGTGGTGAAAGCACCACTCAGCCCTGGAGCTTGGCACCCACCTCTCCCGGCGGGGATTCCGGGCTCACCTTTGGGCCCCGGTGGGCCAGGAAAGCCAGGGCAACTTTGGATGACGGCCACTTTGTCCTGGGCCTCCAGACCCACGATCTTCATATCTGCACACATGGGAGAGTGGGCTGCAGAGCAGCGCCAAAGAGCACAGCCCCCACTCCTGCACCCCCTCCACCCACCACTCCAGGGAGGCGACCTGCACCAGCCCACTCCCTGGAAGGTCTTCCCAGGACCGGCTCCACTTGCCTGTCTCACCGCCTGCCTGCCACGTGTGCACACTGGAGGCGTGTGTGTGCGCGCGCTCACGTGCACATATATGCGTACGCGTGAGCCACCATGTCTGAGCAGGCCCCTCTTACCTGGACAGGTGCCTCCCTCCTGGCCCAGGGTCTGGGAGGAGCAGAGGAGGGGCAGGAGGGTCCACAGGGCAGGCCACCCCATTTCTCTGGGCGCCCACGCACTGGTTCCAGAGCTGGGTCCTCCGAGTGTCACCCTGCTTGCTAATGAGGTGAGAGGTGGCCCTGCCCTGCCTGGCCTGCCCAGCTAGGGGGGGCTTGACTCCCCTTCCTCGTGCTCAGCTTTTCTCCACGGAAAGGGAACCCCAGTCCAGAGCAGGCACAGCACTTCCTCTATCCCGACCCGCTGCAGGCCCATCTGCAGCAGATGGTGTGAACCCCTCCCCCCCACCCCCTCGCCGGGTGCTTCCGGGAAGCACGTGCAGTTGCATGTGTGCTCGGGGCGATGCTGGCCTGGGTCAGCACTGAGGGTTTGAGCACAAGGACACCCCCCTCCTCTTCCTCCTCCTTCTCACTGTCATTCTTAGTTGGGGCAATTGCTCCAACAAACCTGGAGGCCCAACAATGAGAGGACCCCCAAAGACCAGCCCAGAGGTCCAGGGTGGGATGGCAGGCCACCAGAGCCGACTCAAAGCCCAGGAAAGAAGGCCCTGGTGGTTGGGCCAGCCCGGTGGTGCACTGCTACAGTGCGCCGCTTGGGAGCGTGGCGGCGCTCCCGTGGTGCCTGCCACACCTATGTTGGTGCCCACCACCCATCTGCCAGGCTGACCCAGAGCCCGGGCAGAGCTCCTCTCCACCAGCACTGTCACTTACACAAAAATGAGGTGTTACTTTTTTTTGAGAGCAGGACACGCCACGGTAGATGAGTGGGGAAACGCGTGATAGCACTAAAGTTTGTTCCTGCAATCACAGAGACAGGTAAGGGGCCCCTGAAGCCCCAGCTCGCCCGGTGGCCCTGAGTGGGTGAGCCACGTCCAGCATTGGAGTAGCAGGGTGGACAATGTGGGGTCCAGGCACGTGGAGTACATGTTGTGGAGGATATTGACTAAGAAGTTATTGAGATAGAAATAAAACACTTGTATCTCGCAGGACCAAAGTCCTTAGCATAGAAGGCTAAAGCCTGTGGTTTCGAGGATCAAAGTCCTTAGTTTAGTGGGCCAAAGCCCAACCGTTTAGGAGAACACATAGAAATGCTAAGATTGAAAAAGACCAGAGAACTTTCACAGGACCAAAGTCTTTGATGCAGAAAAGAGAATAGAAGCGCAGTGAAAAGGGACTGTTCTGGGGGCAGCTGCCCTCAGTTCAGCTGAACCTAAATGATGGGAAAGCACGTGAGTTAAAACCTTCCAGGACATTCTGCTCGATTAGTTAGAACTTGGGGGACACTGCACATCCTGCCCTAAGCTGTTTCCTTGAGTTTCTCAGGGAGTTACGCACTTAGGTGATTATCTCATTGTTTCTCTTTGTATGTCACATCGCACATCACATCGCTTAGTTTTATGACTCCTTTTTGTTTTTGTTTTTTTTTAAGATGACCAGTAAGGGGATCTTAACCCTTGACTTGGTGTTGTCAGCACCACGCTCAGCCAGTGAGCAAACCGGCCATCCCTATATGGGATCCGAACCCGGGGCCTTGGTGTTATCAGCACCGCACTCTCCCGAGTGAGCCATAGGCCGGCCCCTATGACTCCGTTTGATGGTAAATTGCTCGAACTATTTTATTATTTATTTATTTATTTATTTATTTGTCCTTTTTTGAGACCGGCTGCACTGGACTCCGTTTGATGGTAAATTGCTCAAACTATTTTATTATTTATTTATTTATTTATTTATTTGTCCTTTTTTGAGACCGGCTGCACTGCGCTCAGCCAGTGAGCGCTGTGAGCGCACCGGTCATCCCTATATAGGATCTGAACCCGTGGCGGGAGCACTGCTGCGCTCCCAGCGCCGCACTCTCCCGAGTGCGCCACGGGCTCGGCCCTGCTTGAACTATTTTAAATTACACCTGCTGTAATGAAGATTGTCACATAGACGGTTTGTTTATGTTTGCATTATGATTGATTAACCACCTGTGTTTCTTCTGTAACTTCCTTGTCTTTATAATAAAAACTGAAGCAAAACCTGACTCGAGGCTGTGCCCGGGCTCTCGTCTCTTGAAGGAGTTTTCCTCGGTGCAGTCCCTTCAGGCTTCTCACTGCTCTGAATACATGGGCTCTGAGTCATCTGCATTTCCGTCACTCTGTGACAGGTGACATACTGTGGTCTTTCCACGTGGACATGACTGTTTCTGGTCCTGTCTACTGGCAGGGCTGGAAAGAATGCATGTGCCAAGTCAGCGCCACGCCAGACACCACTTGCCCAGGGCCACGTTCACCTGCTCCAGCAGGGCACTGTATGCAGCTCAGCACGGCCAGGTGTGCGGCTTGGCGCTGTGAAAGGCAGACTCAGTGGCTGGGTCTCCAGGGCTCCTCAGTCTCCAGCACCATCTGTTGTCAGCAGAGGCTGGGCTGGGGAATCAAGTGGGGCTGGAACGGGGACCACATTTGCGTTCTGGCACCTCTGCCCTGAGATGTGATTGTGAGCCCCCATCTATGATGGGGCCGGGGTGGGGGCAGGGCACCTTCCCTCCACAACAGCTCTAACTCCAGGGCCAAGCTCCAGTGCAGGGTCAGGTGTGTTTATTCTACCCAGACATTCAGAAACTGGGGAAATGACCACCAGGTGGGTCTGAGGACGCAGGGGACCTGCCACGAGTCAGACATTGGCCAGGGCCACGATGATGCTCTGCGTCTCTGGGTATCGATATCAACTTGGACCTTGGGTCCAGCCATCCTGGAAATGCTCAGATGTCCCCTTCCTTTCCCCGTGCACACGCATCTGGTGTGTGGCCGGGGCCCCCATGGGAAGCACTGCTGTGAACTCTCTCCCTCAGTGTCCAAGGTCCTGCCTCCTGGGGCCTCTTCTCCAAGCGGTTGGTTCTTGGTCCAAGCACTGGCTCAGCTCCAGAGACCAGACATGGGTAGTGACTTCCTGACCAAGTGACAGCCTAAGATGCTGTTGCAGGGCAGCGGCCCACCCACAGATCAAAATCATCCAGTGGGAATTCCACTTCCCATTTAAGTTTTATGTGGCAATCACTTTTCTGCCCACATGATGTTGTCTGATTATAATATCGCCACGGTGTCTTTTTCTGTAGCTGATGACTCTAGCAAGTGTAGTTTTCCTGGGTTGAATTTTACAGACTCAGAATTTGTCACGATTTTATTCTGTCAGTTTTTAGTCAGTAACATGCATTTCCTTCTGCCTTTTTGTTGTCGATTTTATTTTGACTATGTGTCAAAATTCATTACTGTTATGGTTATCTATCGATGCTTAACAAACCACCCCGAAACTAGCGGCATAAAACAACCATTTTTTTCCCCTTTTTGTCTTTTTTTTATTATTTTTTTTCCTTTTTGTCTTTTTTACTGACCGGTAACGGGATCGCAACCCTCAGTGTTGCGCCCGCACTGCGCTCAACCAGTGAGCGGACCAGTCTCTATATGGGATCCGAACCCTTGGCGGGAGCGCCACCGCGCCCCCAAGCACTCCCAAGCACCGCACTCTACCGAGTGTGCCACCGGGCCGGCCCAAAACAACCATTTTTATTACACCTGTGGATTCTGTGGGTCAGGACTGTGGTAAGACACAGAGGGACAGCTCTTGTCTCCTTCTTGATGTCTGGGGCCTCTGCTCACATGACTCATGCAGCTGGAGCTGGGTGACGTATTTCTCTGATGGCTTCTTTGCACCCATGCCTAGTGGCCAGGCTGGGATGCCTGAAAGCCATTGTTATGGTCTGAATTGTGTCCACCCCCCACCAAGTTCATGTGTCCTAACCCCTGACACAACTGTACTTGGAGACAGGGACTTTCAGGAGGTAATAGAGGTCACAAGGGTGGGCCCTGATGTGGTGTTCTTATGACAAGAGGAAGACACACCAGGGGTGTGGGTGCACAGGGGAAGGGCCACCTGCAAGCTAAGGAGAGGCCTCACCAGAAACCAGCCCTGCTGACACCTTGATCATGGACTTCCAGCTCTAGCTCAGAAAGACAGGCTCAGCTGGAGCTGAGACCCAGAGCCCAAGTGGCCTCTCAAGCACAGTGGCTTGGAGGTGGTTGGACTTCCTACATGACAGCTCAGGCTTCGAAAGAAAGGGGACCCCAGCACCAGACAGAAGCGGCAAGACCCTTTATAACCCAGCCTTGGAAGTCTGCCCCACTGTGTGGTTGAAGCAGTCACAGGACAATGTGGGAGAGGGGACGCAGGACCCCCCCTTGAGGGGAGGAGCGTCAAAGAGTGTCCGCCATGCTTTACACTGCCACAGACGTGACATAGCCAAAGAACTGAGTTTATGTCTGCTTCTGACTAATCCATGAGAAAATGACAAGCAGTGCCGTGAAGAGGAGGAAGTAGCCGGGCAGAGGGATGGGGCAGGGGCAGAGGGGGCCGGAGCACCCTCCTGGGGAGGCTGGAGCTGGCCCCGCGGACGCTTCTCCTTTGCAGCTGGTGCAGTGCTAGGCCTTGTCGGTAGAGGGTGCCAGGGTCGCTGGAGGAGGAAGGGCCAAGTTTCCTCACTTGGAGGTGGGGGGTGGGGGGCAGGTTCCTCTGGCTCCTGTGCCGTGGCAGTCTTTGGGGGTCCATCCGTGGCCCTCCAGAGAGTTTCTCCTGCCATCCAGGGGGTGGTACCAGCATGGGACTTGGTGGCACCCCATGGGTGGATTCTGAGCAAGTCCTGCCAGCACCGCAGTGGGTGGTCTCTGGCCCACCAGCCCCATCCTGCGTGCCACAACTAACTTCTCTGCCCTCCCGGCATCCAGAGCCACAACTGCTCCAACGAGGCCTGAACACACCTTGGGGAGGGGACCCTTCCAAGTTTGTTCCTTCCTTGGGGACTTTCAGCCCTAGAGGGAGCAGCCTCTCCCCACACCTGCCGTTCCTGTATTCTTTAGTGCTCTGGTTGCCCACCTAGTAGCTATTCCCATTTACTAGTTAACACTGTTTTCATCTTACGTTTTCCTGTTCAGACTTCTGCCAGACGCATTGGCCAAGCCATGGCCTGCCTCCTGGGACGCCCCCTCACAGCTGAGCCGGGGGGGGTGGAGG